ACGCGCGTTCAAAATTAAAAAGTAGACAAAAGCGTCGGACAGAAAATGGTCTGATATCACCAGCCTAGGACATACGCGTACACATTGGGACACCCTAGCCCGCTAAAAGTGTTTTGTAGGAAAGACAGCCCTGCGGCTCACGGCAGGGCAAACGATTAGCGACGCTTTGTCCTTAGCTGAACGAGCAGATCCAGGAAGCGACCGCGTCCGCGGACTACAGCTGAACACCCTCTCTCTACTTGCAAAGGTCGTGCATCTCACAGCCAGCGTGAAAATATTGATGGCTCGTTATTCCCACCCGCAATGCACCCAAAACAAAAGCGTCATTATGACAGGATTACTCACCCGAAGGAAGTCAAACGAGCAGCGTGACGCTTGCTGCTCTCCGCCAACGACCGTTTCCAGGTCTCCGCGAATTGGCGCGAAGCCTCAGCACCATCCGAACTCTTTGCCGTGGATTAGTGCGCCTGCTTCTCTCCTCCTGACCGAACTACATTGGTCCAGTTAAGAGGGACCAGTCCCCTCTTAATATGAAGGGAGACGTGTGAATCTTTCTGTCGGTCTTTCCTGTTCAGAGGGACCAACGAAACGGTTTCCTTGGTCTCTCTTAATATGTTGGTGTCCCTCTAGATGTTGCTATTTTATTTTTCAATTTCCCTCTTAAAAAGAGCTGTCCCCCTGAAAGCATTGTTGTCCCCTCTAAAATTAGAGGGACAACGTTTCTTATGAGAGACCGGTTTTAGAGTGTATGAAATCTGCAGCCCGTGGAAGCGACTGGCGGCGGAACATCCACCCGCGGCACGTGGCTTGCGCGTTCCCACAATGGTTGGCGATACCTGTAAGAACAACGCCTTTATCAAAAGGCTTTAGGTAGCTACAGTCAGAATCAACCTTAAAGGGCCGATGCAATAATTTTTGACCTGAGATCAAATGCCGCTGAATGAGGCCCTGTCATTAATGACCTTTAAAACACGCATACGTTATTCAACCCCCGCGATAGAGAGCGAAAAAACGAAAAAAAAACAAAAACGAGCAGGCTCATCTTTTTAAATCGCAGACAGAACAAGCAGCCAAGTGATCTAGAGTCGATTATATGCCGCCCATGTTTATCATAGCCATGCGCTGGGATTGGCAAAGCGCAGGAGACAGCTGAGTTACAGACTTTGTAATGGTTCCGCCATTGTCGTCATTTCAGCGATTGGACAGGGGTCACAACTCACAACCCGAATGCTTCTCTAGCTATCGATTATCACGAGCCCAAATCGAGTGCCAACGCAATGCTCGGGTTCAATCTATGAGCTGCCTTCCAGTATTGTCACGGAGGGATACTGTGACCCACAGGCTACGTCATCAAGTTTTGCGAAGAATAGATAGAAAGAAAACGCTTACTTTTGTCCTTGACATTACACCGCAACAAAGAAGTTTCTTGTTCAGAGGCGTTGCGTGCGAGTATACTTGGGTCACACTAGTGCCAGTAAGGTCTTGTAAAGTGAAAAATATTCCAAGCCAGTATCGTTCCACCGTCTCTTTAAGGGGCAACGGAATTATTTTTCAACTTTTTCCTTCTTAGCTTTCCTCCACAACTGAAAAGCCAAATGAGAAATCACACGGTCGAGGCGCGCTAGGGCACCGATACGATTACTCCAAGTTTCTACCGTCCTCACTGAGAAAAAAGAAACTGGGTTGTGTGTATGTTTATACAACCTAGAACTTGGTCTGCCTCGACAGGTGACAAGTCTCCCAACTGTAGATGAGAAATTTAGCTAGTGCTGTAAAACCACCACCCTGGGGTCTTTAACGTGCGTCACGCAGTAGTGAGTGATACACGACCGCACAGCGGTGCGATTTTCATCCAGATCAAAACGGGCGTGGGTAGAGATTGAACTCAGGATCCTGGGTTCTGCAGGGCGAGCTTTCGCTCCATGTGCTCCGAGCTGCTGTGCGCTAGCCCACTCGGCCACCGATCCCCCAGGAAAAAGCGCCATTCACAACTTTGTTTACTGACAGGAAAGAAAGAGAAAAAAAAAAGATAGAATGATCCACCGCGGACACGTGCATCTGCCAGCAGCCCAGTATATGATAGGGGTTCGTTCATATAGGTTTGTAAGCTGCCTTCATTGTCTGTTTGAAGGAAATTTTGCACTGTTTGACAGCGTCACGGGCTCTACACTAACACCATTCCTTTCCTCACAGGTACTGGTGTTCCTGTCCTCACAGGAACAACGATAAATTGACCTCGCCGGTTAATTTATTCTTCATTCCCATGCTGCTTGTCTAGCCGAAAAGTGGTCTGAATGTGCACTCTCTACAATGGATCGGAAGATGTCCGCCCAATGTAGCCTTCAAGGAGTAATCACGCTCACGGAATCAATCATTGAGGCATCTGACCCGTTGGCCTATGTAGGTTTTCCCACAGTAAAGTGGTATCTTATATACGACACTAGAAGCGCATCGAAGGAATTGCTGTGCATGCTTCTTGGTGCACTTGTGATTTGTGGCACCCTTATTAAGCGCATTTATGCTAGGGCAAATTTGAAACATTTTTTGCGGGGCTGAAAAAGCAACTCTCAGTCCATAACGGCTTGCAACGCTTTTTTCTTTTTTTTTTTAATTATGCGACATTCTGTGCAGGTACGATATTACCACTGGCCAAATTTTCTCGACACTGGTCTTGTTGGTCTGGAAGCCTTTCGCTTACTGTTGTTACTTTTTCTACTTTGTGCGCTAAATACCTTAATATGTTAGACTACCAACTAGCCCAAATGTCAACTTTAATACAGTTTATTTCTATTAATGGAAACCATGGAAACTCCTGTGAAAGTCTGAATCTCCCGTTGAGACATCCCTACTTGGGACGTCCCGATTCAACGCAATCGAGATCAGTTTCTAAACCTAACTTCACACTGATACACCATAAGAAAAGGCTCAAACACGTATTATTTTTTTATTCCTGGTGACGACCCACATCTACAAGCGAGTGTAATATTACTCAAATAAAAAGCGGTTAAACTAATGATTCGTCTCGGATGAGCCGGCGAATCAAACTAGTTTGTTCCCTTCACCTGTGATTTTTTTTTTTCGGAGAAGAAACGTCATCATGTATACAGCCCAAGTTCAAGATATAAGTTAAACACGCTACAATAAAAAATGCAATAATCGGAAGGGTTCTATTTTCTCATTTTGTTTTGGAAACGAGCAGTGTAATGCGGAGCACAGCACAAAGGCAGGTTAAAGCATAACAAAGCAATGATTTCGCAGAATATCATCTGAAGAGGTACATTGCTCCACCCCCCCCCCCCCCCTTTCCGCGCACTGCAATGGAACCAACGTCACCTGACGAATCAGTTGCGCGGATTACCGCTAGACTTAGCACCCCTAGGAAACGGCATACCCTAATTAAGGTTGATTCTAACTGTACATACGCTAGGGTTTGCGAATGCAAACCAGATTTCCGGCATGGGCAATTTTCTCTCTGGCGTGCTGTGATTGGCCCATCAGAAATTAACTTCAGCTACAGTGCTTAAGTAATCTCGCTTATTTTTCTTTTGCTCTTTTGCAATTCGCAGAACGGTGTTCCACAAGGTTTGGCGTTGCCAGCACCACAACCAGAACAAGGTGGCCGACCGCCACAACGCCGCATGCATGACCAAGCTCGACGTAAAGATTAAGGAGCTGAGCACAGACAAAAATAAAAACGTCGTCTATTTTCGCATCGATGTGCCCTTGGTTGCTGTGATTCGGTTTGACTCCATACACACACACAGCACGCAGTCAGCGGGTGCCCTTCGCCTCCTTCGCGGCTCCCGCACTACGAGAGATACATTCATGTGCTACTTCAGCGACGAAATGACGGTCGGTGAGGCTCGTAGGCTGCACGAGGGCAAGCTGTGCCAGGAGAGGGCGGCCCTGTGCTGCTAGCCAACGGTCCCCTGAACACTATGGCCAGAACTACACAGCACTGAAACAGCGTGTGTGTGTGTGCGTGTGGGGGGGGGGGGGGGGTGGGGGGGGGGGTGGGGCGTGTGGTTTGGCGGTGGCATCTTCGACCCGCTGTTCAAGCTGGAGGAGACAGCACCTCTCTATGCAGCTCAATGTATGTCACAAGTTACTGCGGTGCCATGGCCCATTCATGAGTCTTTTCACCTTTCCAAAATATATATTTTCTTAATATGTGAGCTTGGAGCCACGACACTAGGCATGCCCTCAAGCCCTACTTGAGCGGCAAGAGGCAACAACCATGCATTGACCAACCTCAAGCACCTGCAGCATACACGTGAAGGTAACTTTGGCAGGCTTTGAATCGACTTGTGCTAATAAACTAAGCACAAGTGATTGCAACTCTGCCAAAGATACTTTCACGTGCTTGAGGGTGGTCGATGTCTGTAGTTTCTGTTTGTCACTCAAGCGTGACTAATTCCCGCTTCAGCGACATTTCGCGTGCACCGAGAAACTGAAAGTCTGCAAAAGGTACAGTGGTGGAAAGAGAAAACGAAGCAAAAGGCTACCTCGTTTCACATATCATTTCACGTGCTGTCTCGTGCTACATGAGCGCGTCACGCTGGCGGCAAGAAGAACCACGCGAGCCGGGCACTCGCCGGATGCGAGATTAGCGGCTATCAACATCAGACTATCCGACCTTGCTTTTTATAGCGCAGACCTATGACGAATGATTTAAAATAGGCGCGCGCCATCAAACATAGCAAGGCCGGACAGCCGGATGATGATGCTGTTAAACATAACAGCATCTCGCGACTGGGAGAAAAGACCTGCGAGGAAAAGGAGGATCTCGTGCCATCAGAGGCCCGGGCACGCACAATTTTTTTTTTCTCTGGACTGATCGTGCAACCGCTAAGACGAGCTGCTCAGATTAAATCGCTTGTGAAACCAGAGGCTGTTGGAGGAAGTTTTTACAGGAACTTGATGGTGCCGAAACCCGGGAAGGCTACTTCAACGCTACAGAAAGCCAACTGAGACCTCAAGGAGCTTCTGAAGACAGCCACATGGAGCGAGTACGGACCAAGCGAACCTCTCGTCGGGCCCAGACCACTCGGCTCATCCACGAGGTCAGGGCAACTCTTGCAAATGAGGGTCACGATCTTAGTTCGCTCACAACACTGCTTCAGAGATTAACGACAAATATCGAAGAGCTGAAAATCTTAGATCGAGAGTTCGAATCCTTCGTAAGCGACGAACACATTGAGCAAGAGTATGAAGCGGTAATGACCTACCAGGACAACTCAACGCAGGCATTTGCAATGCTGAGTCATCGAATTGAGATTCTGAAGAATCAAGAAGCCCGTGTGGTAGAAGTAAACAGAACACCGGCGATTCTTCCGACCACCACCGAGAACGCCAGAACAAGACTTCCGAAATTGGAGATGTTGAAATTTGACGGCAGCACTTCTCAGTGGCAAGCGTTCTGGGATATGTTCCAAAACAGGATTGACCAGCATCCTCAACTGTGTCAGGCTGACAAGTTTCACTACCTCCGGTCCCTTCTCACCGGACCCGCATTTAGAGCCATCGCTGGCCTTCATGGGTCTAACTCCAGCTACACAGACGCGTTGGCTATACTCCGAGCGCGATTTGGAGACAAGAAACTCATCGAGCAAGACCATCTTTCAAAACTCCGAACGCTCCAGAAGGTCCCATCATCAAACGACGTTGGTGCCTTAAGAAGACTTCTCGACGCCGTTCAGCTACACATTCGTGGCTTAAAAGATCTCGGAGTTCACGCTATGTCCTACTCTGCAATGCTGAACGAGATACTAATGAAGGTTCTACCAACCGACGTCGTCATCGAATATCATCGACGAAAATCCTTCAGCGGAGCTACAGAGCCACTGACGTCAGAAGGAGATCTGGAGATGACCTTAAAATTTCTTCAGATTGAAGTGGAATGTCGAGAACGAAGTGGACTGACAACAGGGAGGACAAGTCAAGACAGTCGACCTGACACTAGGAAGTACGATTCCAGAAGAGAAGGTACAAGAAGCTCCGCAGCTGTTCTACACAGTCGGGCGAAAGAGTCAGCAGACTGCCTTTTCTGCTCTTCCAGAAAACACTCGTCGGAAGATTGCAACACGGATGCAACGATAGATGCGAAAAAGAAGAAACTCTCCGACGACATGAGATGTTTTAAATGTACCATGAAGGGGCACAGAGCGCGAGATTGCAGAAGGAGAATCGTCTGCAATACTTGCAAAGGCAGACATGCTACATCGATGTGCGACCCACGCTGGCAACGAACTAAGGAGACGGAACAAAATAGCAAAACGAAGGCACTCCATACTTACGCTCCATCAACAACACAAAAGGAGCCCCATATCCTACTTCAAACGTTTCGGGGCTGGATCGCTGGCAAAAGTGGGTACAGATACATAAGAGGAATGATAGACGGAGGAAGCCAGCGAACTTTCATCCGAGAAGATGTGTCCAAAAGGTACCAACTACGTATTCTCGGCGACATAAATATTTGCATCAACACCTTTGGATCCGAAGCTGCAAAAGAACAAAGACGAAAGCTTGTGGAGGTTAGACTAAAGAGCCAGTACCACCAAGGAGTGTACATCTTCGAAGCGGTAGAAGTCCCGAATATCTGCAGCCAAATGATGGAGCTTCCTTTGGACCACCCTTTCATAGGAGAGCTTCAAAGTCAAGGAAAGGATTTGGCTGACCTTTGCCTTTTCGATGAAACAAAAGGGGCACTCAGAATCAGCCTATTAATCGGTGCTGACCAAGTATGGAAAATTATGAAGGGTGACAACATCCGCAGTGAGAGTCAGCAGCTGACAGCGCTAAGCACTCGACTTGGTTGGACGGTGCAAGGACCAACGGACGAAAATTATTCATTGACAACACAAAACCATGTCATGGCCTGTATTCTTAATGCAGGAGTCACCACCGAAGACGAAACGAACAAATTGCCAGCGTTTTGGGACCTGGAACATCTTGGAATCACAGACAAGGAAGATAGGTCCCAGGAAACGGTGTTACAGACATTTGAAGATTCGATTTGTTGGACTGAAGGCAGGTATGAAGTCTCACTACCCTGGAAGCCCAACAAAAGAACCTAGCTCCAGGACAGCAAGGAGCTGGCGACAGCAAGGTTAAACGGGTTGATGCGAAAACTCCGTAGAGATGAAAACCTGCTGAACACTTACGACAGTGTGATCCGTCAATATTTGAAGGATGAGCATGCAGAGGTGGTTCCAGATGCGAAGAAAAATACAGGACGGCAGTACTACACGCCGCACCATGCGGTAGTACGCGAGGAGGCGCTCACAACGAAGATTAGAATTGTATTTGACGCCTCATCTCACCAGCAAGGAAGTGAGAGTCTCAACGGATTTCTTGAAACGGGACCAAAGGCATCTGACGACCTATTACAGGTTCTCCTGAGGTTCCGGGTCAATAAAATAGCGATGACAGCAGATGTTCAGAAGGCATTTCTGCAAATATCAGTAAAAGAAAGAGACCGAGATGCGCTACGCTTCTTGTGGTTTGAAGAGAGGCCCACAACAACCGGTCAGTTACCACCAATACAGGAGTGGAGGATGACCCGCGTTCCGTTTGGGACGACATCCAGTCCGTTCTTGCTGACAGCTACCCTACAGCATCATTTCCGAACAGTTCAAAACCACCCGGAGACAGCTCAGGTTCTAGCGAAATCGTTCTATGTCGACGATCTCTTGACTGGCGCCCAGAGTGAAGCAGCAGCAGTCAAGCTGTTTAAGGAAACACAAGACATCATGCAACAAGCTGGCATGAATCTTCAAAAATGGGCATCCAACAGCAAGACACTGCAAAGATTGTTCCAAAAAGGAGTCCCCCAACCAGCTGATATGGCGACAGACACCAAGGTGCTTGGAATGCATTGGAATACAGAAGAGGACACTTTGAAGTTGTCGTTGACCTCGACGTTGAACTTCTTGAAAACGAAATTAAGTACAAAGCGATATGTCCTTCAAGCTGCCAATAGAATCTACGACATCGTGGGATTGCTATCACCTTTCACCATCCGAGTCAAGATTATGTTCCAAAAACTGTGGGAATTAAAGATAAGCTGGGACAATAGTCTTCCTGAGAACATACAACAAGAGTGGAACACATGGTGCAACGAGATTCCACAGCTACAAGTCATATCCATATCTCGATTCTTGTTCGAGGAACTCCGACACACTACGCTGTTTTACGAACTACATGTCTTCACTGACGCCAGTCCGAAGGCTTACGGCGCAGTTGTCTACCTAAGAACATCTGACTCTGAGAGCACAGTAGAAATACATCTGCTACTTGCAAAGGCGCGAGTAGCACCTCTTAAAAAGCTGACACTCCCTCGCTTAGAGCTGATGGGAGCTCTCATCGGTTCTAGATTACTGCGCTATGTAGAAAAGACGTCGCTTCAAGACCACGAAGTATACTTGTGGACAGACTCTACCATAACGTGGAAGTGGATACAAGGTCAAAGTCACCGGTGGGAGACATTTGTTGCTAATAGAGTGACGGAAATCCAAAACACTACGCCTACAGCTCGCTGGAGATTCTGCCCGGGTAAAGAAAACCCGGCAGATTGCCTAACAAGAAGACTCTCCGCGTCGAACCTAGAATCAAACAACTTGTGGTGGACTGGCCCTTCTTGCCTCAAGAAACCGTCACCAGAATGGCAACAGGCGCATCCCGAACGAGACGACCTAGGCGACATGGAAGACAAGGACATCAAAACCAATGTACTACAAGTAACAACTGCCGTAGACGACCCTGTTCTTTACTTGCAGCGCTACAGCGAGCTCTCAAGGGTCCTACGCGTCACTGCTTGGATTTACCGTTTCAAAGAAAACACTGGCGCACTGAAGGAATTGTCTAACTACCTTTTAACGGCAGAACTCAAAAGAGCGGAACAATACTGGATAAAGGTCACACAAAAAAATGAATTCTCGGGAGAACTTCAGAGCATACGAAATGGAAGGCCGCTGAGCAAGTCATCGAAACTAAAAGATTTGACACCTTTCCTAGATGACATCGGAGTTTTACGCGTAGGCGGTCGTCTCCAACAACTAAATGCATCAGAAGACCCTAAACACCCCATCATACTCCCCAACGCACATCGCTTCACCGAGTTACTTATATGCAGCGCACATCAGCGGGTGCTTCACGGAGGAGTAGCAGATACTTTAACTGAATTGCGCGAACAGTATTGGATTGTACGCGGAAGACAAGCCGTAAAGAAGTCTCTGCGAAACTGCACCAAGTGTGCAAGGACACACTTGAGGGCCACATCAGCTCCAATGGCACCACTGCCAAAAGAACGCATTGAGGTGACGCACCCATTCAACGTCGTGGGTATTGATTTTGCTGGTCCACTTTAGACGAAGGAACAAAAGAACGAGAAGTCGTATATCGCCATCTTCACATGCGCAGTCATACGAGCAGTTCACCTCGAGCTCACAACGAGCACATCTGCTCAATCCTTCTTGATGGCTTTACGTCGGTTCGTTTCCAGAAGAGGACTGCCAAACATACTTTATTCAGACAACGCTTTGGCGTTTAAGACAATTGCAAGAAATATATCAGCTGTCTGGGAACTGCTCCGACATCAGGATGTACAAGACTATGTCGCCCACCATCACATCACATGGAAATTTAGCGCCGAAAGAGCCGCATGGTGGGGAGGTTTCTGGGAGAGAATGATACGGACAGTGAAGACCTCCCTCAGGAAGGTTCTAGCACGAAGCTATCTTAATTTTGAAGAGTTATCGACGGTGTTACAGGAAGTAGAAGCCGCCGTGAACTCGCGTTCTTTAACATTTCTTTACTCAAATCAACGGGAACCAACAATTTTAACACCTGCACATTTCCTAGTAGGAAAACGACTTCTGTCGTTGCCGACAATGAAGCAAATGAGCTCCAACCCGCAGACATCGCGTGAACTAAGACGGCGATGGAGCTACCGAGAACTAATTTGACAGCAGTTTTGGAAGAGGTGGATGAAGGAGTATCTTTTGCAACTTAGCTCTGCCCACCACATTCCGCCCAAGAACACAACGCCTATTGCTGTCGGGGACGTGGTAATTATTCACGATGCGAGACGACCAAGAGCAACGTGGAAGGTGGGACGAATAACAGAAGTGCACCCTGGACGAGACAATATCATTCGCTCGTGTGAAGTACGACTGCCGGACGGACGAACCTTTAGGAGACCAGTCCAACTTCTTTACCCACTGGAGGTCTGCAACAAGTCCGCGGTGGGAGCCTGTTAAACATAACAGCATCTCGCGACTGGGAGAAAAGACCTGCGAGGAAAAGGAGGATCTCGTGCCATCAGAGGCCCGGGCACGCACAATTTTTTTTTTCTCTGGACTGATCGTGCAACCGCTATGACGAGCTGCTCAGATTAAATCGCTTGTGAAACCAGAGGCTGTTGGAGGAAGTTTTTACAGATGCCTCTTATCTCGCAACCGGACGGCGCCCGGCTCGCGTGCTTCCTTCCCCGCCAGCATGACGCGCGCGCAGTGTTGTGCGGAACGGCGTTCCAAGGAACGGCGTTCCTGGAACGCGTTCCTTTTAGGAGTAACGAAGGAACGCCGCCGTTCCATTTTGCATCGCTGGAACTGAAACGGGAACGCGTTACGTTTTTACTGGAACGGAAAGAGTAACGGCGTTCCTTTTTTTGTCCATTGGGGTAATTTTTATTTTATTTCTAACAGGGAAAGTATAAAAGTACAAAAACAATATCTTTACGAAGTGTAGGATCTCTAACTTTTTGGCTACTAATCTTATGGATTATTTTGTGTGGTCCTCTATTGCTAACAGTTTCAGATGCAGGAGAGCTGGTGGGCATTGATACTTTTTGAGTGCCCGAAACTGCTATACAAAAAGCAAAAATTTTAGTCGTAGGAAAAGACAAAGAAAGAGGGTTGTTTGAAACTCAGCTACTTTGTTTGGTTTTACGAATCCTCATACACACAGAAATCTTATTCCGACTCCAGCCATTTTTGAACTTCAATAACGAGACCTACATTTACCACAAATCACAGATTTCCAGATATCGGACTCACCCTTGTATCCCGAACAATATTCCCTTAAAAGATACACAAAAAAATAACCTTCATTCCTTCTCTTCTCCTCCACCTTCACACTGAACAACAAACCCAACCTTCACAACGAAGTATTAGTGGGTTTCAAGACTGGCTTTCCAAAAGCCCCACCCTCCTGTTAACTTGCTTGTCTTGCGGACAGCAACATCGAGAAGCAACTGTTGTTAAGTTCTAACACGGGACTCTGTTAAATTGAAGCGTGTGAGGTTGTTGTAAAACGTTCGTGCAATCTGGGGTAAAAGTACATTTGGCTCGTCTGAATTGTCCACTACAAACATGGACATCGTTAATAGCTGAGATGTTTAACATGAATATATCAACAAATGAAACCCTGCTTCCGCGTGTTTTCTTCTCCTGGTGCCCTTCCATTACGACATACAAACTCGTATCCTGACTATTATTGGAATACATAAAAAAAACTCTGCTTGATTTTATTAAATATGGTAATTAGCAAAAAATACAAATGTAACGTATATGTAACGATACGTTCCATTTTTTAAACTATAACGGGAACGAGTTCCTTTCTCCCAGATGGAACTTGTAACGGGAACGCGTTCCAAAAATCAGAAGGAACGAGGAACGAGCTTTCGTTCCTTTTTTTGAGGAACGTGTACAACACTGCGCGCGCGTCTGGCTCGAGACCGCGCGCTCCTATGGCTTCGTTGACTCTTTCTACAATTGTACCTTCGCCTGCATGCCGCCCCTGCTTCAGGCTTGTCGTTGTCGGTTGTTTCTCTTTGTCGGTCTCTTGAAGCATGTGAAAATTCGCTGCCTACGTTCGACTTACACCAGTAGCCATGGTAGGTTGTGTTGTGGATAATACGTGCAACCTACCGCCGCTTTGTGTACACTGTTCGCAAGTCCCGTGTACTTGGTGAATATTTAGGGTGAAAAACACGCTATTTACACAAATTGCCATAAATATACACCTTGAGTAACGGATAATTCGTTCAAAAATCATGCGAGGTTGTAAAAATCGTGTTTTGGTTCGGTCATACACGCATGACCGTGTAGCCGACCTCGAAAACACGCATCACCGCTGGCGACGATCGCAGCATTGCCGGCTACCGAAGCACCGGAATGCTTGGAAACACACCTAGAAAGGACCGTCAAGACAAATGCCAAGGAAAGAAACATGTCTCGGAGACAGATATGCACGAAAAGCAATTACGCCATGTTGCGGGACGGGGCGAACAACGCGCTTACCATGGTTGCAGCCTTTGCTGCCGTTGATTCTGGCCGATGGCAATGCGGCTTTCCCCTCGTCGCCCATGTTTGTATTTATTTAGGGGTCTTGATAATAGTTTCTTACAGACCACAAATAAAGTTGTGGGTCTAATTACTTGTTCTAAACAGTTAAAATGGATATAAAAATCGTGTCCTCGATCTGAGCACGCGATATTGCAGTTGGTTTCGTTTTGTCTTCAACCCTTCAACTTCAAGTGAAGGTGCCGCCGCTTCTTATGCACGCTCCTCAGAATTTACGGCGCTCCGTGGTGGCCACTATATTAAAACTCTATACCAGTTGCTGCATCTGTAGGTCATCTTTAAGTTAGAGCTGACAAAGAAAAATGGCCACGGTGCAACGCCGGTGAACACTGGAAGCTAGAGCCGGTTTGCTTTCGTTGCTTTTGTTTCGCCAGAGAAAATCGAGGGACGACGCACGTTTAGCATGGCGCCGGTATTGTTTTGGTTTGTCGGGACGCTAGAGCTCGTAGGTTTGCAAGCACATGTTGCGAAGACGTCACCGGAGAAGTGCCCCTGTGATGTTCCCAGAAGACGGAAAGTATCAATCGAACTCGTCGTGTGTGCTTTGAAAGCGAAGGGAGTCATAGGGTCCACGAGTGCGCAACTACAAGCCAAGGTTCACGACAGCGCTGCGTTGACTTCGGGGGTCTCATTCTGTTTGGTGCAACACGGCGATGCGAAAAAGAGCTGAAACATTCGTAATGTGTGGTGCGGTGCTTGGAGGTAGAAGCCCACACTAACATGGAGCGCAAATTGGTTGTTGTGGAGTGGAGGTTCAACGGGTTGAGTCCCGTCGTTGTCAGCTAATCCGGTCTAGCTGGTCCGGGAGGACGCAGCGAGCGTTTTTAAAAGTAAATCTTCCTTCGTTCCATCTCAATCTGTGGAAGTATCCCGACACATACCGCGAGTAAGAAGCTGCGGGCGTTTTCAACAAATTTACGTCGTTTCATTTGAATAATCGGCTTCGGATTGTTGTCCTAAATCTGCCGTTTTTATGCTTCGTGTTGAACTGCGTTTGCACAGCGACGCACACCGCTCGAGTAGATGATTCGGTCCTGCAAACGACCAGTTATACAGAATTTCAGGGAAACTTAGTCACCACCGATATTTCCCTGTAAATCGCGTGCCAGTTTGTTGTGTTCATCATGCAGCGTGAATTAACTAGGGCGAGATTTCCTACCTGTCCACAGATGCATGTGCTGAGACCATTGTTTTTACGTAGTGAACATAGTGCTTTTTCTTTGTTTTTGGAAGAGGTTTTGGTGCATTTGTTGTGGTACAATCACTTGAGAGTTGAGAAATTAGAGCAAGCAAGCTTTCTCAACTTTTTCTCTGTCTCTCTGGCACTGCCCTGTTTCAGTTTCAATAGGCATATCTACTAGCAGGTACAAACTGCTCTAAAGCAGGTAAAAGACAGGGGAAGCTTAGGACGGTGCGGACTTCGTATTTCTGGCTTTTCGCAAGGTTACGGGGTAAATGCTTTTGCGAGGTATGCGGAATATGCAAGCGATTTTGTTATGCCCGTCGTTATCGTCTCTCCAGCAAAACGAATAAGATGATCTACAAAGGCGCAACCACAAGCCAAGATTCGCGATAGCAGTGCGTTTGCTTCGGTGGTCTGGGTAGTTGTATTTTACACTGCTCTCTACAGCACCGTGTCATGACGAAGAGCTCGAACGGTCACGGTTTGTGCTG